AGCGTGACTTATGCGCTTTCACAAAAAAACTCCAGTTATAATCACTTAAGCTGTGAAATAAATCTCCTAGTTGCATAATATGTGGAGGTTGTTATTCATGATGAGAGAATCTGAGAGTACGAGGCACTATGTAGGGCTCAAATCAGACTTCATTCACAGAAATAAACATGAAACACTTGCATATGTTGACATGTTGAAATGAATCCATTTAAAATGCGTACAAACGCTAACATCAAATGCAGAATGACATCTGTTTAATAAAGAGAAGATTTCCCCAACACATTTGTAAACATAATAGTTTTAATAACTCATTACTAATACCTGATTTATTTTATCTTTTCATGATGACAGTAAATAATATTAGACTGATTCTTCAAGACACTTCTATACAGCTTAAAGTGACATTTAAAGGCTTCACCAGGTTAATTAGTGTAAGGTTAGGGTAATTAAGCAAGCCATTGTATAACAGTGGTTTGTTCTGGAGACAATCCAAAACTAATATTGCTTAAGGGGGCTAATAATATTGACCTTAAAATAGGTTTAAAAAATCATTCATCCCACTGTGCCACAGTGCTGCCCTATTTTACAGATTAATTTCTCTATATTATTCCTTATACGTTACACTATTTCAAACAAATAAGTGAAGTTTAATTTTAAACTAATTTCGAGAGGAGCATGTGCACATGATTGACCCAGCTGGTCCACATTAGCCAATCATGATCCTCCAATCAAAGGATCCCAAATCACTATATATATCCTCATTTCCTTTCTACAACTATCTTCGTCCGGAAAAAACCTTCTTCCTCCTTTATCCAGAATGGGTGGCACGGTGGCTCAAGACTAGCACTGTTGCCTCACAGCAAGAATACCTATGGCATCAGGTCCTGGCTGAGCCATCTGGTATTTCTGTGCGGAGTTTGCATGTTTTCCTCGTGTTCGTGTGGGTTTCCCCCGGGTTCCCCAGTTTCCTCCCACCATCCAAATGTGCTCTATATTATCGATAAAATAAGCCTAAACCTTTTTTATAATATCTTAGTCTCAGGAAGTTCGCCTTGGCCTCAGCAGCGGGGGAGTTTGAGATCAACCTGAGCTTAATCTCCCCCAGCAAAAGGGGGGAGCCCTGGGCTCGAGGATCCCTTGAGCTTAGGGCTCTCTCCCGGGACAGCATGCCAAATAGATAAATCATGAGCTAAGTGTGAACTCTTGAAATGTCAGTAAAAGTCACTTTGTCAAACTGTAGTTGAATTATCAACATCAAAACGCAATATCTCATAATGCAATTTACTACCGAAATAAACAGAAAACACTGGTCACACTCATCACAAAATACAGAAACTGTTAATTAATATATATTTTTACAGAGTAGAACTGCTGCTCTAAATATTGCTGTGAAAGCGCAGCAACTCGCTAGTGATATACTGTACTATAAATTCGCTCAGAAAAGGGCAGATTTCAGACAGAAAGCCCTGAACCTTTACTTTGTGTGCTGAGGCAGAAAAGATGCTCAATTTCAGATGGAATTCCCCTGATATTAAGGTCTCAGTGTAATCCAGTTTTTTTGCCGAGAGTCTGGCATCTCGGGTCAAAAATTAACACTTGAGCAAAAATCCTCTTTGGCAAGAAAACAGTTATTTTCCACTTGGCGGATAACAACAATATAACACACGCTTTTAAATCAAATTGTACGAATTATCTTACAGTTGGCTGATAAGCCGATGGTGCTCTGCTTGAGAAAACATGCCACAACTCAACAAAACAATCTATAAGGTGATTTATATCACAGCTTTGTGATGTGTGATTTTATTTAAACAACTCTGCAGACCCGGTACCGGGTCTGTGACATCATCGAATTTCGCTTTAAGATTTAAAGGGCTAACTTTGCACCAGACCCCCTTAAGTGGTTTCGATTGAAAGTGTAGAATCTATATTTTATGCACATATGCATCACTTTGGTTTTTATTCTACTGTACAAAAGTTATTTACACTTAAATACACAGTATTTTGGATACCCGAGCTGGTCATTGAACATTGGTTCATTTTCATGATTTTTCATATGGTTCATATATGACACATGTACAAGTTATAGCTCAAATGAAAGCTCTTGCCGGTGCTCATACGGTTATAGTGAACTTTTTACTGAATTATTTTCACATATCAAACAGTTGTCGAATGAATCGCGGTGTTTCCATGGCGCAGAAGTGAAAACAATACATTTATGATCAATAAGCAGCCCCAGATAGCACAGACAGCTGTCATCTCTCACCTTATGCTGTGCGCTTCAGGGCCATTTCTCCTCTGTTTTTGAGCTGATGTGCATAAATAATCCTTATATATGTCTGACGTGGTCCAAACACGGTGAATTATGTTTGATCAAACAAAAGAATAGTGAAATATGAAAACAATGATCGCTCTCTGTGGCTTGTACAGCACCTCTAATCAGTTGGAATACAATAACTTTTGCATAGATTATGGGGGAGACATTTTTCTTTTGCCTCAAACCCGATAGAGGCATAATGTATGATTTTAAAAAGGAGGCGTGGCACCTAACCCCACCCCTAACCCCAATTGTGATTGGGTGATGAGCAAATCATACTAAATAGTACAAATTAGATCGTACGAATTCGTACGAATTAGCAACTAAATCAAAAAGTTACAAATTGCCGTGAGATTGCGTTAGTATTTCCAGTTTTACATTTTAAATTTCTATAGCTTCCGAGAATCCAAAAAGTGCCACATATTGACAAATATTGTTATAATAGTTGTTTTAACATTAGGTTGTGATTGAATTGCCTCTATTAAATAGTTTGATTACAAGCAGTAAATGTTAATAGGCTAATAACATGGCTACATTCAAATGGTCCATAGGCTATATTCAGGTTTGGAATAAAATGAGGATTGTCAAATAATTAATTAATATCACCTGGACTATTTCTTCAATGCTTTCCCAGAGGTTCACCACAGTCTTTATCTGCTTCGACTTGATCAGATGTGTTTAAACTATTTAAACCCTCCTCGAGCGGGAAATTTTGCCGCCATCCAGCACCAATCTGTGCGTGAGGGAAGGAAAGCACTGGCAAAGGTTTAGAAAGTCTGTGTGAAGCAGAAGTTGCTGAAACTTTTATTTCAAAAACTGATTATTAAGTAGGAGGCGGGGCTTCATTTTTTCCACATTATTTCGTTGTAGCAAACTAACAGTAAGCGGGGCATGGCTAAGAATATTGTGGCTGAAGCATTAAACTGACATCAACAAAGAAAGAGCGTCACTCCAAACACGCAAGCAAATGCTCAGACTTTGATTAAAGATTACCAAAACTTGCACAAATTGTTCACCTCAAGATCAACAATGTGAGCTACCAAATAAACAAATTTAATTTCATACAGACATTAAGATATATTTAAGTTCTCACCAAAAAAGTAATAAATAAACAATCAGGTTTGGAATAAAATGAGGATTGTCAAATAATTAATTATTTTTAGTTTTACTATTTCTTCAAATGACTGTGTTTTTTTCTGATCACATGTTTAAACTAACCCTTCTCCTTCTTTTTTCATATCATTTCGTTGTAGCGAACTAATGGTAAGAGGGGCGTGGCTAAGAATATTGTCACTAGAGAAAGAGCGGCACTCCTCACATGGAAGGAAATGCTCACACTTAATTAAAGACTACCAAAACTTGCACAAATTGTTCACCACAAGAATAACAATAAGAGCTGCCAAATAAACATGGTAAATTTTGATTTCATACAGACATTAGTATATATATATATATTCAGGTTTGGAACAAAATGGGGATTGTCAAATAATTAATCAATATCACCTGGACCTTTTCTTCAATTGTCAGTGCTTTCCCAGAGGTTCACCACAGTCTTTATCTGCTTCGACTTGATCAGATGTGTTTAAACCGTTTAAACCCTCCTCCGAGCGGGAAATTTTGCCGCCATCCAGCACCATTCTGCGCGTGAGGGAAGGAAAGGACAGTCAAAGATTTATAAAGTCTGTGTGAAGCAGAAGTTGCTGAAACTTTTATTTTAAAAACTGAATATTAAGTTGGAGGCGGGGCTTCGTTTTTTCAGCGCTATTTCATTGTAGCAAACTAACGGTAAAAGGGTCGTGGTTAAGAATATTGTGGCTGAAGCGATAAACTGACGTCAACAAAGCAAGAGCGTTACTCCAAAGGTGGAAGCAAATCCTCAGACTTTGATTGAAGATTACCGAAACTTGCAAGGCTTGTTCACCTCAAGAATGACAATGTGATCTACCAAATAAACAAATTTAATTTAACACCGAAATTAAGATATATTTGAGTTCTCACCAAAAAATAAATAAAAAATCAGTCTGGAATTAAATGAGGATTGTCAAATAATGAAATAATTCAGTTTTACTATTTCTTCAAATGACTGTGTTTTTTCTGATCACTTTTAAACTATCCCTCCTACGATCAGGAAATTTTCCCACCATCCAGCACCAATCTGCGCTTGAGGAAAGGAAAGTACTGTCAAAGATTTATAAAGTCTGTGTGAAGCAGAAGTTGCTTAAACTTTTATTTTAAAAACTGAATATTAAGTAGGAGGCGGGGCTTCATTTTTTCCGTGCTATTTAATTGTAGCAAACTAACGGTAAAAGGGTCATGTTTAAGAATATTGTGGCTGAAGCGTCAAACTGACATCAACAAAGAAAGATCGCCACTCCTAACACGGAAGGACATGCTCAGATTTATCTAAGATTACCAACACTTGCACGAATTGTTCACCACAAGAATAACAATAAGAGCTGCCAAAAAAACATGGTCAATTTCGATTTCATACAGACATTAGTATATATATATATATATATATATATATATATATATATATTCAGGTTTGCAACAAAATGAGGATTGTCAAATAATTAATTAATATCACCTGGACCTTTTCTTCAATTGTCAGTGCTTTCAGAGGTTCACCACAGTCTTTATCTGCTTCGACTTGATCAGATGTGTTTAAACCGTTTAAACCCTCCTC